GTGGTTGGCTGCCACCCCAGGTTCACTCTTTCCTACTCTTTGTTCTTATTTTTCTTTGTCTTCATGCTCTGGGGACCGAGCGCATTTCAAGTTGGGGGAAGGGGTGTACTCTGTACACGTGTAACTTTGTTTTGAGCGTTGTTAGTCGGTTTAGGGTTCATTTTTTTTTCTGTGTGTGGGGATACGATTGTAATGCCTGTTTGTATGAGTTGGGTGAGCATGTCAGATTCTTGTCTTATTGTTTGCTTGTTTAACTCGTCTACATGCATATATCTGACATCTCTGTTTGAATACTTTCGCACCATAAGCGACATTGAGTAGGTGTTCCCACTTAGTTCACAGTGTGTCCCTAAAAGCATTCCCATGTTCCTTTGTTCATCGATTTCCGCACTTGCACAAAATAGTAGGCGTTTGTACCACTCGTCGTAATCTGAATATTTTGTATGCATGTTGTGAGAGTTGGAACAGGCTTAGGGGATGAAACAAGGCAGTTTTTGTGTGATTGAACCACTATACGAGTCCCGTTGATCCCATTTTAGACCCGTCCGTGTCAGTCAGTTTCTGTGTCAAACTTAGGGAATCGGTGTTTGGATGGGGTGTTAGTTTGGTAGTCCAACTCTGTGCACATTTTAGAGGGCCTCGAATTGTTGTGATAAAAGAGCATCGTCATTTTGGGGAATTGAAATATTGCTTTTGGATGCTGTGTCTTGGGTTATAAAATAATATTTATATATAAAAAACCTAAGCCCTTATTCCCAGCCAAAACCCCAACCCTTAAGCCAATTTCTTCCCACCAATAATCCCATTTTTAATAAGAGAGAGGGTTTAAAAAGAAGTCAACCGACCCCTTTGACCCGTTACTTTTCCAGCGTAAAAAAGAAAAGAAAAAAAGAGATAGCCATTCGGTAGCGCTACACCCACCCAAAGGGGTGTAGCGCTAGGGTCACTACCGAGGGAAAAAAAGGGGTAACGGTCAAAGGTGGTCTGGTCCAACCTATATCTCAGCCTCTCGGTACTTCCCCACTCTCCCCATCCACGAAATTCTCTCTCTCTTCCTTCCATCATCATCTTCATCTTCTCTCATCTTCCATCTTCCATAACCAGTCAAAACCCTAACCCTTAAAACTCCATACCTCCCTTAAAACCCCACCATTCTTCACCAAAATCCACAAAAACACTCCTCTCACCCTCCTCTATCATAATATCCAACCCAAAATTCTTCTAACCCCTTAAAATTTCCAGATCCGAAAATTTCAAACCCAACCTTTTTAGCCCAAAACCCACCAAGTCATGGCACCCAAAAAGCAAAACATTGGCAAGGGAAAGGCGGTGGCTGGAACCTCTGGTGCGGCGGAGGAAGTTCCAAAGGGCCGGGCTAAGCGTAGGGATCGTGAGCAGATTGAGAGGGATAATTAGGTAGCATGGGAGGCGTCCATTAAGGAGCGGGGAGTAAAGAATGAGAGGCACATTATTGACGACGGTTTATGGCCGGCGGACTACAACCCTTTTCTCGCCATTCGGGACCAAGGTTTGAGGTATTGGTTCGAACCTAACCCTGGGTATAATAATGCGTTAGTTGAAGAATTTTATAAGAATATGGTTGTGCCGGAGCCGGGTCACTTCTTGGCTCCGGGTGCCCGGATTACTTCGAGAATAGGTAATACCTGGTGTTTATTGATGCGGCTGAGATAGCCACTGCTTGGGAGTATCCGAGGCCCACGGGACCCATAAATTACCCTAGGCCGGATGAGACTTTTAGTCAGGATGAGGTGGCTGGATATTTATATGAAAACCGCAGGAATGCTTGGATTCCCCATTGGCCTGGTAGATTTAGGGCGGAATATAGGTTCCTCAACCAAGTGGTTTGTTATAATTTGTATCCTAGGGGTCGGGAGGGCGCACCCCAAAGATCGGTTGGGAACTTGATGCTTGCGTTCGTGGCTGAGGAAACGGTCTGTGATTGGGCCCTATATGCTTTTGGGCAGATGTGTGATTTTAGGGATGCCCTGACTACTTTGAGGATGCCTTTCCCGTGCCTGGTTACCAAAATTCTTAGGAGCAGAAACGTTCCGGGGAGGCGATACTATAGCAATGATGATTTACTGTCGGGGGATATAGATTCCTCAATCATTCAGCGGAGTATGGGTCAGTTGAGAGGGATTGAGGGATCGTTGCTTTCTCCACCGCCGGCTAGCGCTAGTACTAAAACTTGGTTGGAGAAGATATTTGGTTGTGTGACGGGCATTGCTAAGAGCCAGCGGAAGTTGGAGAGGGAGCAGAGGTTGTTAGCTAGGAATCAGATGGATTTACTTGATAGGTAGCGCCACCTGCAGGCGCAGATTTCTGGGCAAAATCCAGGGCCTTTCCGACCTAGACTCCGACCTAGACAGTGGCCGGTGTTGGAGGTGAGCGATGACTTCGCGGATGCACCTGAGGAGGAGGAGCACTCGGATGCTGGGGATGGAAATTGAGCATAGAGCTGGGCTGGGGGTGGTGTTATTTCATGTGTCTTTGTCGAGTCCTGTCATTTTATGTGTTATTTCATGTGGTGGTGTGATGTTGTCCATGTACTGGGGGTTTGATGTGAGTCGGTGGTTAGAGTCTTGCCATTACATGTGTTGTGTAATAACCCGTACTTCGTTATGTTTATGACTAATGTTTTGTGTTGAGCATCGGTGTGGTGCCAGAGTCAAGGTGGCGGCCAGTCAGGATGTCCATGCGCTTCTATAGTCCGCCACCCTTTGCATGTTTCTTTTTCTTTTGCAACCACGGTCATTATAAGCCTATTGAAGTCCTTAGTTGACCCGATGCACGTTGTTTGACTCTCTTGCATGCCTGTTTTATATTTTAAGATACCACACATCCATAGCTAAATATAAAACAGGCATGCAAGAGAGTCAAACAACGTGCATCGGGTCAACTAAGGACTTCAATAGGCTTATAATGACCGTGGTTGCAAAAGAAAAAGAAACATGCAAAGGGTGGCGGACTATAGAAGCGCATGGACATCCTACCCTGACTGGCCGCCACCTTGACTCTGGCACCACACCGGTGCTCAACACAAAACATTAGTCATAAACATAACGAAGTACGGGTTATTACACAACACATGTAATGACAAGACTCTAACCACCGACTCACATCAAACCCCCAGTACATGGACAACATCACACCACCACATTAAATAACACATAAAATGATAGGACTCGACAAAGACACATGAAATAACACCACCCCCAGCCCAGCTCTATGCTCAATTTCCATCCCCAGCATCCGAGTGCTCCTCCTCCTCAAGTGCATCCGCGAAGTCATCGCTCACCTCCAACACCGGCCACTGTCTAGGTCGGAAAGGCCCTGGATTTTGCCCAGAAATCTGCGCTTGCAGGTGGCACTGCCGATCAAGTAAATCCATCTGATTCCTAGCTAACAGCATCTGCTCCCTCTTCAACTTCCGCTGGCTCTTAGCAATGCCCGTCACACAACCAAATATCCTTCTCCAACCAAGTTTTAGTACTAGCGCTAGCCGGCGGTGGAGAAAGCAACGATCCCTCAATCCCTCCCAACTGACCCATACTTAGCTGAATGATTGAGGAGTTCTATATCCCCCGGCAGTAAATCATCATTGCTATAGTATCGCCTCCCCGGAACGTTTCTGCTCCTAAGAATTTTGGTAACCAGGCACGGGAAAGGCATCCTCAAAGTAGTCGGGGCATCCCTAAAATCACACATCTGCCCAAAAGCATATAGGGCCCAATCACAGACCGTTTCCTCAGCCATGAACGCAAACATCAAGTTCCCAACTGATCTCTGGGGTGCGCCCTCCCGACCCCTAGGATACAAATTATAACAAACCACTTGGTTGAGGAACCTATATTCCGCCCTGAATCTACCAGGCCAATGGGGAATCCTAGCATTCCTGCGGTTTTCATACAAATATCCAGCCACCTCATCCTGACTAAAAGTCTCATCCGGCCTAGGGTAATTTATGGGTCCCGTGGGCCTCGGATCTCCCAAGCAGTGGCTATCTCAGCCGCATCAATAAACACCGGGGTATTACCTATTCTCGAAGTAATCCGGGCACCCGGAGCCAAGAAGTGACCCGGCTCCGGCACAACCATATTCTTATAAAATTCTTCAACTAACGCATTATTATACCCAGGGTTAGGTTCGAACCAATACCTCAAACCTTGGTCCCGAATGGCGAGAAAAGGGTTGTAGTCCGCCGGCCATAAACCGTCGTCAATAATGTGCCTCTCATTCTTTACTCCCTGCTCCTTAATGGACGCCTCCCATGCTACCTGATTATCCCTCTCAATCTGCTCACGATCCCTACGCTTAGCCCGGCCCTTTGGAACTTCCTCCGCCGCACCAGAGGTTCCAGCCACCGCCTTTCCCTTGCCAATGTTTTGCTTTTTGGGTGCCATGACTTGGTGGGTTTTGGGCTAAAAAGGTTGGGTTTGAAATTTTCGGATCTGGAAATTTTAGGGGGTTAGAAGAATTTTGGGTTGGATATTGTGCTACGTCGGTCTCCGCCCTACGCTTGGGGCAACCCATTTATTTAGGACCAGGAAATCGTCAAGCAGGCACCATATTACACCATTCACAAGGTAAGATTGCGTCAGCATTCTTGTTTTTAAGTCAGCTTTTATTGCAAATAACCGACTCCTTTTTTCCCCCTGTTTGCTTTTTTCAGATTATGGCAGGCCTTTTAGATCAATATGTTTTGGCTGGTAATGCTCAAGCTTTGAAGATGGTAACATGGATGACTACTTCTACAACCATGTGCACAATGTTATAGCAAAGCACAGTATTGAAAGGCACTGACGATCGTCGAATGAGGAAACTGGTGGCCTGAATGATGTTCTTAATAGGTTGTATGCAGTTACGGTGCGTAGTACACATTTACGAATTTCCTTAGTTTTTTTACCTTGGTTCTTTACCTGGTTAAATATAGTGAGATTTTCCGTTGGCTACTCTAACCTTATGAGGATCTCCACTAAGCATCCATGGTTGAATGGTTAAAGCGCCCAACTCATAATTGGAGAGTTCGTAGGTTCAACCTATTGGATGCATGCTAATGGGACCCTCCACAAATAGGAGCCCCCAAAACTAGGGTTCACATGGCTTTTGGAAATTCCATTGTGTACAACACGACCTTATGGCTTCCTTTCAATCTGCAGAAGGAGTTAATTCGAATCTGCAATTCTGCAACAAATTTGACACCTGCTTTTGCTCTGAGTATGTTTGGTATGATAATGCCCTTCATAGCCGTATTTTGTGCATTGAACAAACTATTATCCTTTTTCAAGGTTAAGATGTACCTAAGTTTGGCAAATGCAACTCTATGGAGAATAGTGCATCCACAAATGTTGGATTTGGTTTGGAAGATCTTTTTTCTGTGGGTTTTTTTTTTTAATGGTGGTGGTATTCATTTTTTGCATATCATTATAATGGTTTTCTTATTTGTAAAAAATAGGTGATACTTCTAAAGAATCAAAACTTTGACAGCCAGTTATTGTAATTGTGTGCAGGGAGATTCGAAGCATTTATTGTTAGCTCATCTTTTTGATAAACCCTGCTTTCTAGGATTGCCTGCAATAAAGGTAATTGCCTTTTTCTGTTGTTCGCGTTCCTGGTTTGTATTGAGTCTATCCTTTTTTTTCCCTCTCTCAAACATGCTGTATCAAAAGAAGAAACGTTTTCATGAGCTGAGACCTTAGGCCATACTAGGAAATATGAATTGTCCTACTGTATATTGAAGATACATCATTGACTTCCATTGGCTTCACCCAAATATATTCATTTGGACATGCCCGTTTTGTTGTTCTTGGCGGATTGGGTATGAAGCAGCTGTTTCTGAACCTGTTTGTTAAACTAGAAGTGTTACCCTGAACCAACAGATGCGCCTCTACGTGGTTATGGGAAATAATTGGTGAGGGGCTCGTAGGGCTCCAATGATGCCAGTAAGATACTTGAACTATATGGCATAACATTAGTCGATTAGTTATGGATTCCTGTCATAACTCAAAACTCGTACAAATATTGGCAATAAATGTCAAGTTGGATTTTAAGATGTCAAGGGTAATGTAAATACCACATTTGGGGGAGGAAAAAGGACCTTTGTTAAATGTGTGGTAAATCAATAGTTCACAATGAGTATCTGAGCAAACATTACATCAGAAGCTGGTAAGTATCCAATGTTTATATAGTCCTCCCGTATTTTCCAGTGCGACTCTCAAGTAAATGTGCGTTTTTTTCCTTGGTTATAGTAAAACCCATGTTAGCTCCTATATTCTAAACACATTATTGCATAACTTCAGTTAATACCTTGCAGGGTGATGATGTTTCTGATTTTCATGCCAATTCTCATATACCTATTGTTATTGGATCTCAAATGCGTTATGAAGTTACTGGTGATTCACTTTATAAGGTAAACATCTATAATTTCTTTGCTCTGCTTTTCTGTACTTGTATGAAGAACAAAGGTTGTCTTCTGAGACGAGGTTTCTTACAGGCGAATAGATTTTACACTTTTCTTCTTTTTGTTCACTGTCTTCCGCTTATGGTAAAACCGGTTTTTACTTTTCTTGAAACTTTTTCCTTCTTCTTTTCTTCTTTCTTTTTTGTATGTCCTGGCTCTGGGTAAATTATCTTCCTGCTATTTGGGAGATCTCTCGGAATCTATGAGCATTAAGGGAAGAAAATAAATCCGAAGTCTCTCTTCTTCAAATTAGTGTAAGAGCAAAGACTATCAAGCTCAAATTTGTTCACACATTCTACCGCATAATTTGTTAACACATTATAACAATACTAACTTTCACCGATCAAAAAACTACAATAATAATTAGTGTAAGGATAATCAAAGTACTCAAGCAACCCCTAAGGCAACCTCATGTCCAAAGGCTTTTAAAAGGGCCAAGACATCTGCTTTGATGGTGATTCATGGTGGCTTGAATGGAAAAAGAGTCGTGGTGGATTTCATTTCCATTACCTTACATTTTTTTCCTCACTGTTGTGAAATGAAAGGTCAAAGGTATTTGAAGTATATATTCTGATATTTTACACATTTTATTCGATGTACATCTTATAAGTATCTAACATAGCTTCCCTAACATGGCCTATTTCATAAACCTCTCCTCACAAATATTTAAAATATCCTAAGCATTTGTGCACCCGTTTTCCACGGAATTTTCCCAAATGTGGCAATGGTGGAAATAAAATTGATCAATCTCCTTTGAGAGTGTATGTGCAGTAGTGTCTTGCTGAGGCTTTTATACATGCTGAACGACATCACCATGGAAAGTTGCAATGCTATTTTTTCCAGGAAATAGGGACCTCCTTCATGGATGTTAATTCTTCCCACAGCTATGCAACAGGGGGCACATCAGTCAGCGAGTTCTGGTATGATGTTTGAACTTATAATCGTAGATCTTATCTAAGAATAAGCTCTTTTCCCCTAATATTAGACTGCCATCGTCGGAGAGAATATACATGTAACCACTGAAATGTATGCTTGCCCACCTAATTGGTGGTTCCCCTTAATGCCCTTTTTGATCCTATAGTGTAGTATTTTCCTCCCTCATGCTATGTGCAGGTCAGACCCAAAGCGACTAGCAAGCACTCTAGCAACTGAAAATGAAGAGTCCTGTACAACTTATAACATGCTAATGGTATGTCGATGACTATTTAGAAAGTTGGGGCTGATTGGGCAGGCGGTGGAAAATAGATTTTAGTTTGTATGACTCCTACATTATATTACAATAATGTGCCAAATGTGGGGAACGTTTACTTCCAGATGTAGATATCACAATGACTTGGTTTGGTATGGTCAGGTGACAAGGGAGCTGGTGGCGAGAAGGGTCGAGGCTTTTACGTAGTTGGAAAACCCCTTGGAATATTTGGGTTGGTATCTTAGCAAGGCCATATTTATAACCACGAAACAAATCCTGCTTGGTTTGATTTTTTTGGAAGTGTTAAAATCCTGCTTAGTATGGTTTTTTTGGAAGTGTTAACCTTCCACAAGGAAAGTCAGAACCTCCCCTATCTCGTTCAGTGGGACATACTGGAATCTGGGGTAGGCAATATTTGCTTCAACGCGTGATCGTTGACTCTTGAAAGACCTCACTGATATAAGAAAATCACCCCAAAGACCCCAAGTAAAATTAGGAACATTGCCCTTTATCATGACCAAATGTGACCTAATCCTTTTAGAACGTGCTTGGATTTAACTCGTAAACAAATCTTCAATTCCTCTCTCTCTCTCCACACACACACACTCAGAAAGGGAAAAAAAACCTGGCTGCGCCCACATCTTCAGTCTGGCACCATTTCCTTACCATTTGTTTTGTCTACGCTGTAGCTGGCTGACTTATTTACGAAGACCCACACTGCTGCTTGTTTCCGCTTTCTCCTTGGCAAACTCTCAATGCTCTCCACTGTCGCATCCTGAGTTTGAGTGGGGGGGGGGGGGGGTTGAAAGTATTCGATATATCTTTGTGTATCGCATAGATTGGGGGATTATATCTCATTGTATTATGTATCATCTCAATTAGCAATACAGATTCTCTTTTCTCTCATATGTTCTGTCACAATGTACATTTTTTCAGCAATACCAAGAGGCAAGAGCAGTGGATGCCCACTTGGTTTTAGAGGGAAACTCTAAAACCCTAAATGGGTTTTTCCCTCCAAAACTCACTCTTCCCTCCACCCAAAGACAAAACTCTTAATTTTTCATCTCCTCCATTTGAATCCATCAAGGTGGGTCTTCAGTAAAGACCCTTGTTTGAAGAAACTCATTTAGAAAAGTTTGCGAATTTCCAGTCCATTGGAGAAATCCGCAGATTCATTTTTTACTTCAATTTGAGTAAAAGTATAGGTAAAGGATGACCTTGGAAGTGCCGGCTCTGAGCGTGAGAGTTGCCTGCTTTAGAGCATCTACAACCTCGGATTTGAATTGAGCATGTTAGAATTTGACATCTTCAAGGTGCTCATTCTAACCAACATGTCAAATTTGACATAAGAGAGGGAATGTCAAATGATACATAAGCATTTGACATTTGAGTTGAAATTGCTTCACATGTCAATTCTTCCACTTGGCATGCCATGCTAAATTTGACCTTGTTTCAAAAAAAAATCAAATTTTAAGAGTCCATTTTAGAGTGACGCCCATTATAAAATATCAAAGAACGATAATTTACTTAAAAACCTCTTGCCTTTTTTTTAAACATCCTGAACAATTTCTGTAGATTAAGCACTATTTTCAAGAAAATATAGAATAGCAAATATATTTAAATATGTTTGATTCTTTATCGGATCATAAAAACCCACTTTCCCAAGATCTCTTCCTTCTCTTCGAGATTTGTTTTATATTTTACTCGGGTAAAGAGAGCTGATTTTGGCGCTCCAAGAAAGACCACAAGCGCTCCAAATTTTGGAGCTATTACGTGAAGTTCCTATTTTACCCTTATCATACACACCAAGCACGTTTCCACTTCAGACGATTTTTTAATATAAAAATAGTCTAAAAAAAATTAAGTGTTCCAATTTTCAATTCATTTGAACAAGTGCAAAGATTTTATTTTTCTGATCATTTTATCCTAAATGGTTATAATTAATTTTTTGCTCTAGGGCTTTCATATAGAGAACTGTAGAATCAAATAAAGAACAGATACTCCCTCCGTCCCTTTTTAAATGTCCTGCTTCGTAACCCCAACTTATTAAAAAGACATCATCATTATACCTTTCACATCAACTTTTTCCTCCACTTTCCCTACTTACCCATCATCATTACACTTTTACTCACTAACTTTTCAAAATGGAATCTACTTTTAGGGACAAAATAGACAATTCACCAACTTTTATCCACTAACTTTACAAAATGGACACTTATTAAGGGACAGCCCAAAATGGAATACTGGACTGTAATAAAGGGACGGAGGGAGTACTTAAATATGAGAGTCCTAAAGACAAATATTAATTATGACCTTTTAGGATAAAATGATCAGAAAAATAAGATCTTCGCACCTTTTCAATGGATTTAAAATTGGAGCACTTAATTTCTTAATCATATTTT